TGCTTCTTCATTGGCATGAGGTAAAATTTCAGATCTATTTGCAAAGTTGACCTTGGACTTTTACAATTTTTATTAAGCATGGTGATTAGTATTGCTGGTGATTATTAATATCCAAGTATTCCTTACTTGGCTTTTATATATTTATTTCTGAAGGGAGTAGATTTTGACATTGTTGTGCAAGGTCTAAGATTTGTTGACTGGTCTCATTAATGGGAAAGAAGTTTTATGGACATCTTCTGGGTGGAGAATAGACTCATCCCAGATGTTTTAGCTGAATCCATAAAATGCTGGATCTTTGTCTATTTAATGCTGGAGTTACTTATGCTGAGCTACTCTGATACTTTTACCATTTAGTTAGCCTTAGCATTGTGCTTCACCACAAAGGGTAGTGAAATACACTCTTGACATGATTATTTTTATAATGTAGTAATGTTCTTAGGATGTTTTTGAGAAATTGTAGATTGGAAAAAGTTTTAACTATTATTACTTCTCATGTATGTGGTTGAGTTTATACAAGGGCTAGATGTGTATGTTATTTATCACTTAGGCATAAGCATGGTTAGGTTAATTGTCTAAACCTTTTGAGTTAAGCATGTTTAGGAAAGGATCAAATTTGAGCATTAGATGTCAAACGTTATGTTATCCAATTTAGTTTATTTAAGTGTTTCTATCATATATTTAACTTGATTATTTCATCAGACCAAATTCTGACAATATCATGTTTATTGTGTATGCTTTTCTAAGGGGATCAAAGCAAGTGCTCTGCAGACATTGACATGCCCACTCTCATCTTATTAGATCATGCGGTCAGGTACCACAGCACACAAAAACAAGAGAGTGAATGAACCAAGCAACAATGAACGACCAAACACACAGCACGGCAGTCAAAAGAACCAAAGAAGAATCCACTAGAGGGTGGGCTACTGCTCTTCTTCCCGTCACTCCTTCCACTTCCTGTGCTCGAAGCCCAAGATGTGACCGCAGCTTCTATGATTTCCCATAAGTGGAGACCAACCCAACGCACGCACACCCTGCACGCTCTGCGGCGGCGGCGGCTACCAACCGAACGCCACCGACTACCTTTTCTGCCGCTGCAGGCCGCGTCCACATGTACTCCGAGTTCTCCCCATGGCACGCAACCAAATGACACCAACAGGATGACCAGAACGAAAGCAAGAAACCTACAACTGGACCGCCACCCAGCTTCTCATCGGAGCCACCGCCGGAGGTCCGTCGTCGAGGACGGGGACACCTCGCCGCCGAGGCTGTCGTTACACGAGGACGACACATTGGAGCGCGGGTCCCCCGCGAACCGGCCCGTCGCGCTCTTGAAGCTCGGGCTCCGGAGGCTCTGCGAGTACCCGTAAGGATCCGGCGCCGGGAAGGAGAGGCGCTTCTTGGCGGAGCCGGCCCTGTCCCTCTCCGGCGTCGCCGGCCGCTGCCTCGGCGCGCTCTGCGATCGCACCCGCGCCTTTGCCGACTCTGTCGCCGCCATGTAGTTCGGTACCATCGCCGGGGGGTGCTGCCGCGAGGCTCCCGCGCCGTGGTGGTTGTGGTAGCTGGGCGTGTGGACGGTGGAGAAGCTCCGGTCCTCCCTCCCGTAGCGAGGGCTGGCCGAGCGGACCTGTAACGGCCGCGTCTTGGACGGCGAGGGCGTGACGGGCGAGTGGGTTTGGTAGTGGTGGTGCTGGTGCTGGGCGCGGTGGAGAGGGGAGCAAGCGTGCTGCGTGCCCGGCGGTGGTGGCGTCGGCCGGCGGGGGTTGACGGGGGCGGAGTAAGAGAAGGGTCGAGACGTGTCGATCTCCAAGGTCTTGATGGGATCTCGGTGGTCAGTGGAGGCTCGCGCCGCCCTGCTGCTGGCTCTGTTGTCGAAGGACGACCTCGACGCGATGTAGCGATCCATCCACCGGATCGGCATCTGCTCTCCCGCCGAGGCCACCTCGTGGTCCGCGTCTTCGTCGAGCGCGGGCGAAGGGTTCCGGTCGGATCTCCAGAGCTTCCCGACGTGCGGAACATTTGATGTCAGTCACAGAAACGCCGACACGACAAGGTGGAGGAGACAACGAAAGAGACTTGGAAGCTTACTTGATGAGAGAAGGCGTAGGAGAGCGCCCGTTCTCGTTTCAGAGCAGCCTCCTTTCGGCTTTGCAGCATCGCCTGGATCTCCTCGATCGTTCTCGGGCGGTCGTCCCAATCATCCGCAAAGCTACTCCCATCTCTGGACTGGTCGTACCATCAAACAAATACCAGACATAATCGAGCAGGATGAAGACGAAGAAGAAGAAAAGCTTGGAATTTTAGGCGGGGAATGTGTTACCATGGATCTCCGCTCAGCGAGCTCCTGGAGGAACTTGGATTCCCAGAGGGAGGTGTCGCAGCTGAAGGAGGACTTGTTGCTGCCGCGGGAGACCACCGACGACGACTCCTGGGCGAGCCGCATGCGCTGGTCTCTCACCCTCGCCTGAACCCTCACCAGGGCTTGCATGCATCTCAAGGTCATCTTCGCCTGCTTCCGGACGTTGTGCCCCCTCACCAGGGCCTGCAGTTTCACGAGCCCCTTCAGAGCCCGCAACGCCCTCCTCGCCTTCATCCGCACCGCAGAAGCCCAAAGTCACCATCTTTGCACTCCGGAAGGCAAACGAAGAGAACCAGAAGAAGCAAAGAGAGGAGTACCAGGTATCCCCGAAAGGCAGTTTGGATGACAACGGCGGCGTAGTGCTGCTCCTTGGCGAAGCTAGATGAAGGCTGGGTGAGGCGCACCACCTCCGCCGCCGCCTGCGCAGTCGCTACAGCCGCCTCCGCCGTCGCAGCCGAGGCCACAGCCAGAGCAATGGCGTGCCTTTGCTCCGGCGTCACCGCTGCCTGCGGCGGCGGCGGCGTCCTCGTTTGTTGCCCTTGCTGCGGCTGTTGCTCGTGCGCCGACGACTTCCGGAACAACCATCTCCTCTTCTCCTTCTTGTGCTACCGAGGAAGGCAGGAAGAAAGGAAGACATCTTGAGGTGAACAGAGAAACACAGAGGCGGCCAGGGCAAGGTAAGGTACACGACACTAACCTTCTCTTCTTCCTCTTGCTCCGGCTCTTCTCGCTGCTTCGAGGCCTTCTTCTCGGAGTCCTTGGACGGCGATCTAAACGCCCGTTTGACCGCCGTCAGCCACGAGCTGCTCCCCTTCTTTCCCATGATCCAGATCGCACATTTACACCGTTACCCAACGATTCCCAAAAGGTAAGGCTCACCCCAGCCACAGTTAAAAAGGAAGAAGAAGAGACCTCCTCAACAACACATCACTTTGCTTTCACCCATCCATGATTCCTTTATCAACTCAACTCAGAGAAGAGAGAGAGAGTGCAGAGAGAGCAGAGGCGTTGAGCAGAGGAGCTAAGTGGACGCGCATCACGAAGCGAGCCACAGTGGGTGAGCTCTAAATGTCTCTTCGGGGCCCACCAGTTGAGCACTGCTCCGCGAATCCATGTGGAGAGTAAACCAGTTTAGGGTCTTAGTCCTCCTCATCCACAGAGAGAGAGAGAGAGAGAGAGAGAGAGAGAAGGAAACTAAAACCAGCGATGACATTGAGACGTATAGTATTATAACATCAAAACTGGTACGCCGGTGCATGTACATGTATGGGGGAGTATGTGTACTTGTACTGAGGTGGGTGGGTGACTCAATAAAGGGTAGTGTGCGGTCAGGTGCAGGAAAGTTTGTGTCTGTACGAGATGGGAAAGGGAGCTTGGTGCTTAACGTCCATGGCAGGGTTGCCGTGGAGAAGCTCACAGGCACCATCAAAAAGTGCTGAGGACAGCCATTTCTGGTATTAATGAGAAGGATGTAGCTTTAAATAAGTTAGAGAGAGAGAGAGAGAGAGAGGTATGGCATGTGGAGGCAGTGAAAGCCTTGAAGGATGTGGGAGGAAAGAGGGAGCGAGCACGTGAGGTTTCAGGGAAGGGAAGGGAACTCCAAGGGCCACCTATTTATTTAAAGGTTGTGGACATGGATCCCATGACACCCTGTGAGCTTCTCTCTCCCTCTCTCTGCTTATGAGCTGAGGAGACGAAAAGGATAACTTTTCATCCAATCTGGTCAATCCACCCAGCCCAAGTTAAGTCCGATGTAACAGTGAAACCAATGGCCGGGAGCTATCGTCGCTCCCCTAACATCATACAAGTAAAGGCTTCCATCGATACGGGATTTAGGAAACAAAAAATAATTAGATTGAAGTATCATACATGTCACCTACTTATCAAAGATTGATAATTAATTTGATTATCAAACCTTATCTTTTCCAAGAAAGAAGAAATGTATGGGGTGGTTGGAATCTTTGGTTCCCTCCCCCTTTGGGTGAAGCTGATGTGCACACATCTCGATCAATGTTTGGCGGTTTTCCAAACTGCACTACTGTCGATTCTTTTGTTGTGGAGCGGTCAAAGTGGGCGGGGTCAAACTGGGGGATCATCCATCCCTGTCGAGGGTATTAGTACGACCGGATTTGGGTTGGCTCCGCTCACCCAAAAGCCTTCTCCCCATACTAAATAATTGCTTCCACATGTTGAGGTGCTTATAATAACTAGGAGTGATTTGTTTAATCCTTAAACTCTCTGCACCACATGATACTGTTGATTTGGTTCTAATATTTATTCATCATTAATTTTATGATGGCGTGGCCAGTAAGGTATAAACTCGCCCAGTGACCGTGTCAAATAAAAATAGGTCTAACTTGACATTCATCTAATCCAACTCTGATTCCATCATTAATTATGTTTCTCTCTCTCTCTCTCTCCCTCTCACACACACACACACACATATATATGTGTGTGTGTGTGTGTATATGCATGCAAGACTCTGACTTATATATATATATATATATATAT